TCTGAGCTGCAAAGGTGTGTCATGTGGGCCACGTTTTAACTTGATGACCGGACCCTCCATGGAGGATGTTGGGTGTGGGAAGAAGGGAGACCAGGTCTCTGGGTGCAGGAATCTAGGTGAAAAACGATGCCGCCAGGTCTAGGGGGCCTGAGCTTGAGGAAGCATGAAGTAGCCCTTCACAGGAACGGGGAGGGTGGTGGCAGAGCTGGCAGTTTGGGAGGGGAGACCAGGCACTCAGTGTGGGACTCAGAAAACGCATCCAAGGCATCCAAGAGGGGTAGTTGTGAGAATTAAAATAGATAAGGCCTAAAAGCACGTGCCTGGCATTTAGCAAATATTCACTTCATTATCTGTTCAATGTTGTTGTTTTTTTTAACAATTTATTTTTTTATTTTTTAAATATATCTTTATTGATTTCAGAGAGGAAAGGAGAGGGAGAGAGAGAGATAGAAACATCAATGATGAGAGAGTCATTGATTGAGCCCGCAACCCGGGCATGTGCCCTGACCGGGAATCGAACCCTGATCGCCTGGATCCTAGGTCAACGCTTAACCACTGAGCCACGCCCAGCGGGGCCTGTTCAACGTTTTAAACCTCAGTTCCAGCAAACATGTTGTTTTGCCTTTATGACGCACATAGAAAAGCTAAACTAAAAAGTAGAATAAAATATATCCTCAAGATGAATGAATTACTTTTTCACGGGCACGTTCGGCCTCTGCCTGTCACACTGGATGCAGATACACATGCTCGTTAGTTGCCTTCCCACGTCTGTCTTAGTTTGAATACGCAAGTTATACAGTGAACTTCCCTTTCAGTGAGGTGTCACTGGTAATTTCTTGTGCTTACTCATCGGTGTGTTTCTCTTCCTCACATACTGGGGAAATGTCTGCTCTAGTTTTTAGTGTAAACATTCTTATATATATATTTTAAATCAAAACATGCCTTTTAGAAAGCTTGAATGGTACAAAGTGGTCCAAGAGTACGGTGGAAAGGGCTCTTCTTCGCCTGTGTCCCACAGGTCCCCAGCCCAGACAATCCTGTCACCAGTTTCTCATGTAGCCCAAGAGCTGGTCTTTATGTATGCAAGGGCGCGCACGCACACACACACACACACACTTAAACATACATGTGCGCAGCTTTTAAAATTTCAGTTTACTTACTAGTATACGTTGGAGCTTTTTCCACTGTGCATAATGTTTTTTGTGGTTCACCCCTTTTGCTGAATAATATTCCATTGCATAGATCTACTGAAACTGAGTGTCCTTATGACTTTGATTAAATTTAGTATTATTTTATTTTATTTTTTACTCCTCACCTGAGGATATTTTTTCCCATTGCTTTTCAGTGTCGGGGGGGGGAGAGAGAGACATCGATGTGAGAGAGACATTGGTTGCCTCCCGCACAAGCCCCGCCCATGGCTGGGGATTAGGCCTGCCACCGAGGTACGTGCCCTTGGCCAAAATCAAATCCAGGACCCTTCGGTCCAAGGGCTGATGCTCTAACCACTGAGCAAAACCAGGTAGGGCAGTGATTAAATTTAGTTTTAAATCCTACCTGTAGAAATAGCATTCTCTCTCTATCTCTTCACAGGCCTAGCCTTCCCCCCAGATAATCGGAACCTCCGAGGCAGCAGAAGACAGTTACCCAGACCTGAGTAATGGTCAGGCTAAATACCACATCCTGACCTAAGTTATGTTTCAGCCTCTGAGCCCTAAGGTGGAATGACCCCCGAAGGACGCTGGAAAAGACCTCAGCAGGGTGCCATGCCTCCCGTTGGATGTGCCACTTGCAAAGCTAATTGGATGCTACTCTGATGTTGTCTGAAGCTGGCCACTGGGTATGTTGGTTCTGATGCCTTTTGGGAGGGACTCTGGTGCCGGCCAATGTGTGACACTGCTTGTGACTGGCCCTGGACAACCTGTTTGGAGCTACAAAGTGATCCCCAGTTTGTGGCAGCCTCTGCTGCTCCTGGGTGTTCGTGGGAAGGACCAAACTATGCACCAAGGCTGGCTTTTACCATCACCTGTCCTGGGGCAACTCAACAAAAGTCCCAGGGAACCCTGAGATCTGCCTCCACCTGCCAGCTGCCTGTTAGGCTCAGTCACTGAAAGAGCCCCTGGTTATACTTAAGTGTCATGAGGCAGGTTCTCAGTGGGACACCAGGTTGGGACGAGTGGTGTTCACCAGACTGATACAGGTTCAAACTTGGTGCCAGTGCTGGGTCTAAGACACTCAGCAAATGTCCCTGGGTGTCCCAGATCTAGCTGCCACCTACTGGGTGCTAGCACACCTTTGTGGTGGTGCGGGGTCTCAGGGTGAGGCCAGCAGAATTTATCAGGCCCTAATAGAAGGCTCTGCACTAGTCGGGAATGTGAGGGAAAACGGCCTCGCCCTAGAGCCACACAACTCAGTCTGTCCCAAAGTCTGCCGGGAGCCCCATCCCAGCAGGGTAGGGCCGCTGGGAGTCAGGAGAGGGGGAGGCGCTGGTCAAACCTCAGCAGGGCAGAGCCTCCAAGAATCCAGAGGGTGGGGCCGCAGGGAGCCGGACTGTGGGGCTAGCAGGTCTCCCGAGAGGGACATGTAAGCAAGGCTCTATCTCGATTAGCTCCTGCCTCTCTCCATTTCTTCTGTTAGAATTTGACAGTTTTGTTTGAAGAAATGCCATTAGTACCTCCAGTACCTCTTCAACAGAACCCATTTTCTTCTTCTTTGTAACTGTAGTGCTGATCTCTGTTACATTAAAATGTGCCCTGTTTATACTGGTTTATATAAGCTCTGGAACTTTATAGTTACCCTCTCCTCATACGTCATAGACACACGATCAGGGCACAGACTGCAGGTTCGCCTTTCTTTTTCTTCCATGTACTGTTTAGTCTTCTTTTCTCTTGTCCGTTCCGAATTGTCAGGCAAAATCCCTAAAGGTGTGTTCAGTGCGATTTGTGCCAGGGCCTCGATTTACGCTCTGGGTGAGAGTGACCAATGCCTCTGGGCTTTCTCACAAAAAAGAACCTTTAGTGCCTGGTGGGCGCGGCTCAGCTGTTGAGTGTCGACCTATGAACCAGGAGGTCACGGTTCAATTCCCAGTCAGGGCANTGTGCTCTGGGTGAGAGTGACCAATGCCTCTGGGCTTTCTCACAAAAAAGAACCTTTAGTGCCTGGTGGGCGCGGCTCAGCTGTTGAGTGTCGACCTATGAACCAGGAGGTCACGGTTCAATTCCCAGTCAGGGCACATGCCTGGGGAGCCAATCAATGACTATTATCATTGATGTTTCTCGCTCTCCCTTCCTCTCTTTGAAATCAATAGAAACATTAAAAAAAAAGTTTACTCTCAATTCTTTAAAACTGCTTCCTGATGTAATAAAGAGATGGCAAATCCTAATCTTTTTGTTGGGAAAGGCACTTACCGTCTGTGGTGAGGATTATGCCATTTTCCTCCCAGTAAATGAGCTGTAGTAAGTCGGCTGTATTTGAACGGTTCACTGTGGCGCCGCAAGTCAGTATAGGTGAGTGCCTGAGTTGGATGAAGAAGAGGGACCTCCTCTGGGCCAGGTGTGGCAGGAGGTGACCCCAGGGAGGGTGAGCAGCCCACAGTCCAGGGACAAGAACAGGATCTGTGCATGGAGGCAAGGCAACTATTTCTGGGTTGGATCCTTCAGAGGCGTCTCAGAGGCAGGGGTAAGGGCCACTGCCTTTAGAGCATTCCTCTTGGATTTTGGAATATTGGGGACAGCACCCTGTCTCCTCTCTCCTTAGGGGCCTGCCCTATGGGAACAACCTGCAAATCCAGCTCAAGGCACAGGACTTGGCCCGGGCACCCATGAGATCCTCTCCACAGATACCCCAGAACATCTATGATGAACCAGGAAGCCAAGTAGGTGATCTTTCTTCTGCCTCCTCTCTGTGCCTCCCATTCACTCCTTCACTCCGCTGCCCACCGCCAAGACTGTTCCCTACCCAGACTGACCCCACTGGCCTGTCCCCAACACACCAAACCTACCCTTAGCCACCATTCCGCATGAGAGTTAACATCAATGGACACAAAATCAGCAAGGGCCTGAGGCAGCATCTAATCTACCCATTTCATAGATGATGTGATTGAGGCCCAGATAGGGAAGAGACGTGCTGAAGGTTGTAGTGTGAGTGTGTCGGCCAGGATAGGCTTGTTTATGCTGCATAACAAACGACCTCCAAAGTCCAAGTATTTTATGGGAACAAAGTTTATTTCCTGCTCCTACTTCTTGTCTATTGTGAGTCAGCTGGGACCTCTGCTCCACGTTGTCCTCATTCCTGACCCAGTCTGAAACAGTAGCCACGACCTGGAGTGCTGCTGGCCCCTGTGGTTGAGGAAGAGAGCCTAGGGCAGTGGGAAAACTTCCCCTCCACCTTCCTAAGCACTGGCTTCCACCTAATGATCCAACATGGCTGCGCAAGGTTCGGTCATCACATCGACATCCCAGCCAACAGGGAGAAGCAATGTAGGATGCACAACACTTCCTATTCCAGATGATCAAGGAATATTCAGGGGTTCTATCTCTAAGGAAGATGGTGAGAACAAATTTTGGGAGACAAGTAGCTTAGAGAGCATCACAGAAGGGTCCATGGAAACATACTGAATAAAGCATTCTCAGGACATCATCTGCAGAGAATGAACTAGGCCATTTCACACCAGTACACAGACACAGGGGGAGGAGGCATGTGCAGAAGGAAGCTACTCTCTGGGACTGATCCCTGCAAAGGCATTGGGACTCACGGAGAGGCCACTTTTCGGCCTATTCTCTGCCCTTCAGATGTGTGTGGGGAATTCTTGACTGCCCCCTTTGGCTTACCCCCATCTGAGTTATCCCCCTGCTTACCTATCCCCCAGCTCACCTGTTCCCCAGCTCACCTGCCCCACAGCTCACCTGCTCCCAGCTCACCTGTCTCTCTCAGTTTACCTGTTCCCCAAGCTCATCTGTCCCCCAGTTCACCTGCCTACCCTGTCCCTGCAGGGCTGGCTCTTCATGGACCCCATTAGCTTCCAGCTGGGCACCAAGAACCAGTGGGGTTGGCTCGTGAGGCTGCTCAGCAATCACCCAGAATGGCTGAGTGCCAAGGTGAAGTTCTTCCTCCCCAACATGGACCTGGGCTCCAGGATCGAGGCCCCAGACCCCACAGAGAGGGTCCTCCTACAACTCAGGGCGCTGCACAACCAGGGTCTTGCCACCTGGCAGGCATTCATCCACTGTGTATGCATGGAGCTGGAGGTGCCCCTGGAGCTGGAGGTGCCACTGCTGAGCACTTGGGGACACGGAGACGGTAAGGATGTGTGTGAGAGGTGCAGAGAGGCCCGGGAAGGTGGGGACCCACTTGATTCACACAGAGATGACATGCTCAAGCCAGGAACAAATTCCATGTTTCTGGACACTTCCCAGAGCAAATTCCCTAATGCTACCACATCAGCTGGGGACCTCCCACCTTCTGCAACTCCAGTGGCCCAGGGAGGCAGGATGCAAGGAGAGAAAGAATAGGGTGACGCCTTCCAGCCAGAAAATTCCAAATAGCCCATAATGCCCAAGAGGTTTCTTCTTGCAACGTGGTCAGAAGCAGTCACAGGGGGAGCCCTCTGACCTGTAGTGATGGGCAGGCAGATCAAATCTGTTCAGGTCAGTGGGCATTTCTTGGGCACCTTCTGTTTTCACAGCACTGTGGGGAAACAGTGAGAACTCGCTCCACAACTCTACCACCAGGCAGCGTGTAGGGTGTTCACCATGTGCACACATGTGTATACACATGGGCGCCCATGTGCACAAACACATGCACACACATACCTGTTCATGCAGAAACCTACATGTATACACACATTTCTGCCCCTTGCTGCCTTCACGGATCACCACCAGTTGTGCCCTTCACAGATCACTGAGTGTCACCTTTATGTCTCCCTCGCTGAGGACCCACCCTTTGGGATGAGCCCTGAGCTAAACATCAGAGATCAGAGGTGGTTTCAGCACATCCCCTTGGTGTATTATATTCTCCTCTCTCTCTGTCAGGATTTCCCAGTCCTTTGGAAACTCGTGAAGGAAGCCAACCTGAACCTGAGCTCCACCATGGTGAGGCCTGGGGTTGGGGAGCAGGAGGGGGGTGGTGAGCATGCTCAGTTCCCACATCAAACCCAGAGGAGGCTGACGGTAGCTGTTCACAGCCATTTCCCATAAACCATCCCCCACATCCCGGATCCATCTGCACATGTCCCTGCCCCTTGCTATGGCTCCCAGCCCCACCTCCTCCCCCTCTGTGCCCCTCAAGACTTTGGGAGCCTCCTGGGAGAGTCTGAACTGTCAGCCCTTGGCTCTGCCAGAATCCTCTGTCTGGTTTCACTTGGGGAAGCCTGTTCTCACTCCCTTGTCCCCAAGCCTCAAGGCATCATGCTCCAGCCCCACCGGCTAAGGCCCCTCACCATTCAACACCTCGGGCTTGACAGACCCACGGACTGTTGTCCACACCCAGGGAACCTCTGACTGATTTTCTGCTGGAGCACAGAGGAGTCAACGATCAAAGGGTGGCCACCTCTCCGATTCGTGGGCCACACCTCATTCTCAGAAATTTTCATTCTTTTTAATGTAGTAAATTTCCATCTTAACCACTTTTATTTTTTATTATTTCTAAAATTTTTAAAAATGTATCTTTATTGATTACAGAGAGAGGAAAGGAATGGGAGAGAGAGAGATAGAAACATCAATGATGAGAGTCATTGGCTGAGCTCGCAACCGGGCATGTGCCCTGACCGGGAATCGAACGCCGATCACCTGGATCCTAGGTCAACGCTCAACCGCTGAGCCACGCCCGGCTGGGCCATCTTAACCACTTTTATTTAAGTGTACTGTTCAGTAGTATTAAATACACTCACACTGTTCTGCAACCATCACCGCCATCCATCTCCAGAACTCTTTTCATCTTGTAAAACCAAAACTCTCTGCTCATTCAACAAGAGCTCCCACCATTTCTCCCTCCCCTGGCCCCTGGTAACCACCACTTTCTTTCTGTCTTTTTTATTTTGACTACTCAGTACCTCCTATAAGTGAAATCATTTTGTGACTGGCTTATTTCACTCAACCTAATGTACTTGAGGTTTATCCATGTGGCGATGTATGTCAGAATTTTCTTTTAAAAGCTGATATTCCATTGTATGGCTATACTACATTTTACTCACTTATTTATCCATCGATGGACACTTGGTTTGCTTCCATGTTTTAACTATAAATATAGGTGAACAAATATTTCTTCAAGACCCTGCTTTCAATTATTTGGTGTGTGTGTGTGTGTGTATGTATATGTATATATATATGAATTCCAGGGTCTTATGGTAGTTCCATTTTCATTTTCTGAAACACCTCCATACTGCTATCTGTTGCTGCACTATTTTACATTCCTACAACAGTGCACAAAAGGCTTCAATTTCTCCACCTTCTTGCCAGCACTTTTTATTTTGTTTTTTTTTTAATTTATTGTTGACAGTATTATAGGTGTGCCCCATTCCCCTCCCCTTTGCCCCCTCCACGCAGCCTCCCCTGTTGTTTTATAGGAAAGATCCTAATGGGTGTGAGGTGGCATCCCATTGTAGTTCGGATTTGCATTTCCTTAATCATTGGGGATGTTGAGTGTCTTCTCATCTGCTTATGGACCATTTGGATATCTTCTTAGGAGAAACATCTGTTCAAATCCTTTGCCCATTTTTTAATCAGCTTGTTTGTTGTGATTTTGTTTTGTTTTTGTTGTTGTTGTTGAGTTCTCTATATATTCTGGATATTAATCAATTCCTCATCAGATAGATGTTTCGCAAATATTTTCTCCCATTCTTTGTGTTGCCTTTTTGCTCTGTTGATTTGATTTTTAACTTTTAAATTTTTAACTTTTTCAAATTTAAAATTTTTTAATTTAAAATTTTTAAAATTGAAACTCTTAAATTTTCATGAAATCCAATTTGCTTATTTTTTTTTTACTTACCTGTGCCTTTAGTGTCCTACCCAAGAAATTATTGCCAAATCCAACATAGTGAGGTTTTTGTCCTATGTTTGCTTCTAAGAGTTTTATTGTTTTAGGTCTTACATTTAGGTCATTGGTTCATTTTGGGTTCAATTTTACTCTTTTGTATGTGGATATCCAGTTTTCCCAGCACCACTTATTGAAAAGACTGTTCTTTTCCCATTGAATGGTTTTGGCACCCTTGTCAAAAAAACATTTACATGCAAGGGTTAGTTTCTGGACTCTCTCTTCCATTGGTCTATATGACTGTCTTTATGCCAGTACACACTGTTTTGATTACTGTAGCTTTGTATTTTCAGATCAGGAAGTATGAGTCCTCCAGACTTGTTCTTCTTTTTCAAGAGCATTTTTGGCTATTTGGGGTCCCCTGAGATTCCATATGAATTTTAGGATGGGTTTTTCTACAAAAGAAAAAAAGTCATTAGACCCGCCAGTGTGGCTCAGTTGGTTGAGAGTCGTCTCATGTACCAGAAGGTCGCTGGTTCGATTCTCGGTCAGGGTCCATGCTTGGTTTGTGGGCTCATCTCCAGTAGGGGGGCATGCAGGAGGCAGCCAATCAATGTTTCTCTCTCATCGATGTTTCTGTCTCTCTCTCTCTCCATTTCCCTTTCTCTCTCTGAAATCAATAAAAACATACTTTTGAAAAAGACACTGGAATTGTGATAAGGATTGTACCTGCAGGGAATCTGTAGATCACTTTGGGTGGTATTGATATTTTAACTATATTAAGTCTTCCAATCATGAACATGGATGGGTTTACATTTATTTTAAGTAATGTTTTGTTTATTATTCAAATCTCTCACCTTTTTGTTTAATTCCTAGGTATTTTATTGTTTTTTATGCTATTGTAAATGGAATTATTTTTGTAATTTCTTTTTTAGATTATTCATTGTTTGTGTATAGAAGTGCAACTGTTTTTTGCATGTTATATTCTGCTTTTTTGCTGAATTCATTTATTCTAAAAAACTTTTTTGTGGAGTCTCTAGAGTTTTCTACATGTAAGATCCTATCATCTGCAAACAGACTTTACTTCTCCCTCTCCAATTTGGATGCCTTTTCTTTCTTTTTCTTGCCTACTTGCTCTAGCTAGAACTTCCAGTACTATGTTGAATAGAAGTGGTGAAAGCGGGCATCCTTGTCTTGTTCCTGATCTTAGAGGAAAAACTTTCAGTCTTTCACCTTTGAGTATGATGTTCACAGTGGGTTCAGAACCTTTATTTCTATAGATGAATGGACCTTTCACCTATAGGTGTGCATGGCAGTAACATCAGGCTTTAATAGAAAACATTCACCCCATAATACCAGCTCCCCAAAAAATCAAAACTGTTTTTCCTGGTCCCTGGTCCCTCCTGGCCCTTATCACTGAGCTGCCTTCACTCAGTCCCTGAGTGTGGATACACTTGTCTGCCTGCTGCCTGTTTGTGGAACAGAGCTCCCCAAAGTACTGAGTACCTTCTCACCCCCCCAAACCTCACCCCTTACTTTTTCCTTAATTTTTTCCAGACCTCAAGCGACCTCATCAGAGCTGTGGGTCCTCACCCCGCCCAAAGCAGTTCAGGAAGCAGCAGCTAGGTGGGTACCAAGGTGGGGAGGGACCTGAACATAGGGATTGGATTGCATTGGGGCCAAGACACAGGTTCTGAACTCTGTGTTCTGTTAACAAGCCTTTTTGGGCCTAGTGATTCCTGTTTTTCAAGCTTCTATGAAAGAAGTATTGAAGGTCCTGGGTGGGCAGAGGAGAGGGCAGAGTCTGGAAAGGAGGGCCATCCCCAACAGGCCACATGGAGCTTCTCCAGAGAGGCTCAGCTGAAGGAGCTGGAAGCATCCCTGTAGGTCTCAGCGATATCCTTTAGCCTCCTCCAGGGACACCCCATGTCCTCAGGGTTGAGGGAGCCCCAGGGAAGTGGCCATCATAACCTCACTCCTGGGCCCTTATTGGCCAGTTTAGGGGTGAACAGAATACCAGGGAGAACTCCCCAAAGCAGAAGCCTTTAAGGGTTCATGGGGGAGACATGGGGGCTGTCAAGGGGGAATAGAAGAGACAGAACTTCCAGAACTTCTCTCATTTTCCACCATTTGTCCAGAAGAATCCTTGTTCCAGACCAGCTGTCCCACCAGCTGGGAAACCCAACCCCCATGGAAATAGCCAGAGGATTCACACTGATTTTATTTTATTATTTTATTTTATTTATTTTTAAAATATATCTTTATTGATTTCAGAGAGAGGAAAGGAGAGGGAGAGATAGAAACATCAATGATGAGAGAGTCATTGATCGGCTGCCTCCTGCATGCCCCCGACTGGGGATTGAGCCCGCAACCCGGGCATGTGCCCTGACGGGGAATTGAACCCCGATCGCAAATTGAACACTGATCGCCTGGATCCTAGGTTGATGCTCAACCGCTGAGCCATGCCCGGCTGGGCCACATTGATTTAAAATAGACTACTACCTCAGGTCCCCCAGCAGGGGCTCCCAGTGGCCCCCAACAGTGGCCCCAGTCCTTTCCCTGGGCCACCCAAGATCTCCCAATGACTCAGCAATTCAAAAATCAGTACCTGGCACAGCAGGGGCCCAGTTCCCGCAGTTCTTTCTGATTGGTCAGTGTCTGGACCTACAGGTCATTAGCGCTCCCCCCTGGGCACTGCAGAACTAAAATACTGAGGAGGGGCACAGATTACTCAGATATCACAGGAAGAAGTTGTTCTGATAAGATGTTGCAAAGGAAGTGTCCCTTTCCCCTTTCCCCATCTTATTGAAAACTTTACACCACTTATGTTGATACAAAACAGAGAGCCACGATTCCCACCTCCCCAGTAGACATCCCTGTTTAAACGGCCGCCAGAGTCTCTGCCATATATACACAGCCAATACTGGGATGCGGAGGTTGGGGGTGGGTAGGGAAGCCTTCTGCCTTCATGTCATCTCCCTGTCCCCAGCAGAGTTAGCCAAGAGGTACCTACAGCTGCTGAAGACTTCTGCCCAGCAACGCTATGGCGGCAAGCTCCCGGGGCCAGGGCAGCCCCTCACCTTCCACCAGGCCTACGTCCCCACAATCCTGCAGTGGAGCCGGGCCACAGCACCCTTCAACACTCAGGAGGGGGCCGTTATGGGGAGCCCCAGAGCAGACGATGGCACGGACGTGAGCATCCAGGACCTCTTCAACTCCAAAGCTGACAAGGGCCCGAGGATAACGTTGGTCCTGGGGAAGGCCGGCATGGGCAAGACCACACTGACCCGCTGGCTCTGCCAGAAGTGGGCAGATGGCCAGCTAGACCGCTTTCAGGCCCTGTTCCTTTTTGAATTCCGCCAGCTCAACCTGATTACAGGTGTCCTGACGCTACCCCAGCTCCTTTTTGATCTGTACTTGAGCCCCGAGGCAGCCCCTGAGGCCGTTTTCCAGTACCTGGAGGAGAATGCTAACAGGGTCCTGCTCATTTTTGATGGGCTGGAGGAGGCCCTCCATCCCTGTCCTGGCAAGGAGGCTGCAGGTTCTGAGGCACCAGGTCCAGCCCTCGCCCTCTTCTCTGACCTGTGCTGTGGGACCCTCCTGCCGGGCTGCAGGGTCATGGCCACCTCCCGTCCAGGGAAGCTACCAGACTGCCTGCCCACAGAGGCAGCCACGATCCACATGTGGGGCTTTGATGGGCCACGGGTGGAGGATTACGTGGGCCGCTTCTTCTGCAACCACCCATCTCAGGAGGCAGCCCTAGCAGAGCTGCGGGCAAACAGACATCTCCGGAGCATGTGTGCAGTGCCTGCCCTGTGCCGAGTCGCCTGCCTCTGCCTCCAGCATCTGCTTCCAGGCATCTCTCCAGGCCAGTCTGCAGCCCTCCTACCTACCGTGACTCAGAACTACATGCAGATGGTGCTCGCTCTCAGTCCCCAGGGGCACTTGGCTGCTGAGTCCCTGAGGGGCCTCGGTGAGGTGGCCCTGAGGGGCCTGGAGACTGGGAAGGTGATCTTCTCTGCAGGAGACATTCCTCCCCCTGTGATGGCCTTTGGGGCTTCCCTCCGCCTGCTGAATTCCTTCTGCGTCTGCACAGGCCGTGGACAGCAGGAGACAGGCTACGCCTTCACCCACCTCAGCCTACAGGAGTTTTTGGCTGCCCTGCATCTGATGGCCAGCCCCAACGTGGACAAAGATGCACTGTCCCGCCATGTCACCCTCAATTCTCGCTGGGTGCTGAGGACCAAAGCTAGACTAGGTCTATTGGACCACCTCCCCACATTCCTGGCAGGTCTGGCATCCAGTGCCTGCCGTCCCTTCCTCAGCCACCTAACACAGCAGGGTGAGGCATGGGTGGGTGCCAAGCAGGCCGAAGTCATACAGGCATTGAAGAAGTTGGCTACCCGTAGGCTCACCGGGCCAAAGGTTGTTGAGTTGTGTCACTGTGTGGGTGAGACCCAGGAGCCTGAGCTGGCCAGCTTCATGGCCCAAAGCCTCCCCTGTCAACTGCCCTTCCACAATTTCCCGCTGACCTACATAGACCTGGCTGCCCTCACCAATGTCCTGGGGCACAGGGATGCCCCCATCCACCTGGATTTTGAGGGCTGCCCCCTGGAGCCCTGCTGCCCTGAGGCCCTGGCAGGCTGTGGGCAGGTGGAGAATCTCAGGTGAGAGGAAGGGCAGGGCAGGACCTGGGGAGGGAACTGGACTTTGGGGTGAGTGGAGGCCCCTGCCAATTGAGACTGGGTAAGAATCCTAGTATCAGAACAGAGAGGCCCTTCCCGTCTCTTAGCCTGTGACACAGTGAGGAAGCACCGGGCCTTACCAGTACCTCTGGGGTCCAGTTGGATCTCTTCTTGTTGCGGTATCTGGACTGTCAGTCTCCCTGTCTCAGTCATGAGCTGGAGGCTGTGATCCAGGCTGTGCTGCTAGAAACTCTTTGACTTGGAGCCGGCTATTTAACCTCTCAGCCTGAGTTTCTTCATCCCTCAAATGAATCAGTAATAATACCTACCTCATAGGGTTGTTGTGAGATGAGATAATGCATGAAAAACACTTCTAAGCCAAGCTCCTGGCACACAGTAAAGACTCAATGTGTGTCATAGCTAGAGAAAAGGCTAAGCTGCAGCAACGAAGAACCCCATCCCCTTCCCAAAATACAGCAGATTAAATAATGTAGCATTTTCTTTCACTCCCATGGAAGACTCAGAGTCCAGGTCAGTGGGATAGCTCAGCTCCAAGTGGTCACACAGGAGCCTGGTTCCTTCCATTGTTGCCCCATCATCGCCTTGGGCATGCTGATCTGCATGGCCAAAGCTGAGTCATGGGCATATCTGTGCTCTGACTTGGGGGAAGGAAAAGAGAGAGCATGGATTAGACATACCCAATGTGTTAAAGCTCAGTCCTAGAAATAAGGCACATCTCTCCGCTTATATTCCAGTGGTGAGAACATAGTCATATGGCCACACTGAGCTGCAAGGCAGGCTGGGAAATGCCATCTCTGTCTGGGAAACCATGTTCCCAGTTACAGCTCCCTGCGTGGAGAATGAGTTTTGGTGGACAATTAGCAGTCTCTGCCTTAATATGTATTTGTTACTACTACAACCATTACAACAGCAACAGCAATTACTACTATTAACATAACTGTATTCATTCAGTTCTATCTGTTGGAGGAGGGGTGGCTCATGACCTCTAGCCCTGCCCAGCATTGATCCTCTGCCACCTTGCCTCTTCCTGTGGCAGCTTTAAGAGCAGGAAGTGTGGGGACGCCTTTGCAGAAGCCCTCTCCAGGAGCTTGCCGACAATGGGGAGCCTGAAGAAGCTGGGGTGAGCCAGGACTTGGAACCGAGAGGGATCTTCAGCTGGGGATGCTGAAACTCTCTTTTCTTCCCTCAACCCTACACAGGGCAGATTCTGGGCCTACCCCCTTTTCCATCCCTACTTCTCCCCTCTGCCTTTGCTTACCCTGTAGGTTAGCAGGAAGCAAGATCACTGCCCGAGGCATCCACCACCTGGTGCAGGCTTTGCCCCTCTGTCCACACCTGGAAGAGATCAGGTGAGTAATCTCCAGGAGGGCTCACTGGCTGAGAGAAGAGGTCACTACCCAGGTCTTGCATATTCCATGGTGTCTGGCCAATAGTTTTTCAGTGCAGCTGGGTGGGGCTGGATCCAAGCACAAGGCTCCCAAAGACCCCAGAAAAGGGCTTCTCTTGTCCAGTATTTTGGGCTATTTTGAAGGAGCTTGAGCTTTGAGGCCCCTTCCCTCTTTCTGTGATCCTGAGAGGACGGATGGCAGTGTATAGGCTGGTGTTGGGCACTGTGAGTACACATAAATGCATGAAACATACACATACCTTCACATCTATGCACATTCACACACTTGCACTTGTCTGGCTCACTTACGTATGTGCCCCACATGCATGCACTGTCATTGGTGTGCAGCACACGCATGCACACACATGCATGCAGACTTAGATCCACATACACATCTAAGTGCATATGCTCAAATATATTCCTGCTTGTGTCTGTGATGATGGCCTCCTCAGCAGCTCACTGGCAGAACCATTGCTAGCTGTCACCTTTGTGAGATTTAGAAAAAGCACCCCTTCATCCTGGCAGGTGCAGCCCAACACTAGGGTGCACCTCGTGCTTAGTGGAGCATCAACTGGACCACAGCTCTGCTCTGTCCCCTCTGCTGGGTGTCTTTGTGCATGATTACCCTGTGTGATGGAAGAAAAGATTAAGGTCAGGATCAATAATTCTCTAGAGAAGTAAATATCAACAAGTTCGGTATTTCCAAACGTTTCCTGACCAGAGTGGTCACGCACAAAGGCCCCCTTGAACCCTTCAGTTCTTCTGTCCCTCCAGCTAGGGACCCATGCAGGGATGGGCTGTGCACCCCATTTGACAGGTGATGAATATGAGGTCACAAAGGAAGGCACTTGGCCTAGGGCTCTGGGTGAGTCAGGACCAGAGCTGGGCTGGAAGTGGCATCTCCTGCATCCCAGTATAGGCTGCTCATCACCTGAGAGCCAAGAGGCCCTGATGAACTTGGGCTTCAGGCACATCCCTGAGAACAAGGTGCTGGGTCTTCTCATCCCACCCCATGAGGCCTTCATAGTCCACCATCTGGATCCTTTGGGCCACCAGGCAGGAACTCCCCCAGAGGGACTTAATAAGGACAGAAATGAGGCCAGCAGAGGGCTTTTCCTCCTAGCTGGACCTGTTGGATACCATGGAGCAGGTCACCAACTCATTTTGGACCCCTGTCCTGTATCTCCCCCATGAGAGTGACCATGCCTGTCACCCACCAACTGGAGCTCCTAAGTTCCCCTACCCCAGGACTGAGGGACTTGGTCTCCCTTCAGCTTTCAGGACAACCAGCTCAAGGACCGGGAGATGCTGAACATCATGGAGGTCCTCCCTTGCCTGCCACGGCTCCAGAAGCTTGAGTAAGCAGACTTTCCACATGAGCCCCTGCCTGAGTCACCCTCCAACCTTAGAGAGCAAAGATCTGGGGCCCATGGGATAGGGGATTCACACCTGACACCTTTGCCACAATCTTGCAGCCTGAGCCACAACAATTTCTCCATGTCGATCCTCCTCTGCTTTACCAAGGTGGCAGTCACGTGTCCGACTATCAGGATGCTGCAAGTCAGGTGAGCAGGAGTGGGAGCCTGGCCTTCAGGGTCTTGAGAAAATAGGAGGGGCTAGGAAAAAGAGGAAGCCCCTAGTCTGCAAGATGTACATGCTTGAGCCTGTTTTACTCACATCAGCATATCCTGAGCCTAGCACCTAGCACCTGAGTCAGGCCTGGCACCTGGTACTCTATATAAGTAGTGAATGAATGGGAAGATGGATGGACTGACCGACAGACGGATGGATGAAGTAATGAATCAACAAGTCCAGGAAGCATAGGCTTAAGGTGGAATAATTAGCCACGTGTCGCTCTCCGTGGTGCTGAACTGGCTTTGCCTGTTTTGATCACGGGGTGGGTTAAGAGCTATGCCTTTTAATCCTAAAACACAGTAACTCCTATAAAACTTTTCAGAGTTCTTAATTTTATTATCTTGTAAAAGTTGTTTTCCTGACTTTTTGAAACACTCAGGATTCATCAGCATTGACATAGCCACAATTTTACATGTCTGACTTGGAGCACTCCTGCAAGTTCTGGTGTTCCTCTGTCGATCACAAAGTCAGCTTTCTCTGGCTGTTTGGGACAGTAAGGGGTGCGCAGGTAGGGGGTGAAGTGCCGGTTTCCAGTCCGTGGGTTTCATGGCTCGGTGTCTGACCATGCAGGAAGGCGGATGTCATCTTCCTTCTCTCCCCGCCTGCGGAGACTGCTGCAGAGCTACCTGGGTAAGAAGTTAGGGAGGGGGTGGGTCTGGATTCATCCTGAGATGCAGTTGTGGGGAAAGGTGGCCAAAGGATCTTAGGAAGAGCTGGGGTGTGGGGAGTCTTCTTGCTACTGCTACCCTGAGAAGTGACTTCTCAGAGTTGGCAAAGGGCTTTAGCTTCCTCTAGTCTCTCTGGACCACATCTGGCTCCTGTGGTGAGGGAGCATCCCCAGAAGTCTCAGAGTGAGCCAGACCCTTGGGGAGGGATGGCAGGAAGCATGAAGGTACTGTTAGATTGGCATTGCTATATGGGGAAATGTCTTCTAACTGGAAAAAGAAGGCAGTTATGGTACCTACATCTTGCAGTTGTTCTGAGAATTAAATGAATTAATATATTTAAAGTGCTTAGAACACTGCTGGCATCCAGTTGGCACTCAAATGCTGGTATGCCAGCTGTGCATGGATCCCAGCTCAGCCAGTCCTGGATGGGCAAAGAATAGGAATCTGCCTTTCCGTGAGAGAACATCCCAACTGTGCTTCCCCACACCACCCCCAGCTGAGACTCAGAGACAGACAAAGATGTATATCCTCAAGGAAGTCCTTTCCCTACTCTGAGCCTCACTTTTCTCATCCATGCAGTGATTCAGTAGAAGCACTGTCTTTCCCCCCTCTGACTTTCCAGACATGTGGTACCCAATACAGTAGCCATTAGCCACATGTGGCTATTTAAATATATATTAATTAAAGTTAAGTCAAATGGACATATAGTTTCATCAGTCACATCAGCCAGATTTCGGGTGCTCAGTGGCCATCGAAGGCTAGTGGCTCCCATAATGGGTGGCACAGATACAAAACCTTTTTATTGTCACAGAAAGTTCTGTTGGGTGGCACTAATCTCAAAGTCTGTGCAAAACTGGCTCACACTGTCCCAGCTTCTCTACAGTCCCCAGCCCCCCACTGGCCCAGTGGAAGAGATCCTGGAGGTGCTGTGGCTTTTCACAGCCTGACTCACATACAGGTCATGCTCCTGGCCTGAACCACAGATGGTGCATCTACAAATGGAGACCGTTGCATCTTAAACCACAGCAGCTGCTTTTGACTAAGCTTCAGTTTTGTGCCTATGGTGGGCACTTGATCACACATCACCTCAGTCAATCCTTCAGTCACTCTAGATGTTAGATATTATCATTTCACTTTAGAAAAGAGTAATGGAGGCTCAGAGGGGTGAAGTGACCTGCCCAAGGCCACACAGTCAGAGTTTGAATAAAGTTCCATTTGACCTCAAAGCATTTGCCCCTGGTGCTTTGCTGAATAGAGCCTTCAGCACCTTCAAGCAGCTGTCTTTGTTACACACTGTGGGTCATGCTAAAGAGCCTTCAGTTTCTAGAGGCCAAGAGCAGAGCCTGGAGTCCCGGGCCCAGGCCAATGTTGGATTTGTTCTTGCCAGAGCCCCAGACCTCCAGGGAAATGCCAGCCAGCGGAAAGAGGCTCAGAGCAGAAGCCTGACACTCAGGTACCTCAGTGGGATCCATTGCCTTAAGGGGAGGGATAGGATATGGGTGGAGAGTTCCTTCCCAGGGGAGGCATAGCAGGGGCAGGGAGGGTAAAGGGAAAAGTACCATGGGGCAGGGAAAGGCCATGAATAACCCATCTTGGCCTGAACAAGGGGCACCTGGCACAACAACAACAACTGTAATTTAATGGGCCCTTGTTGTGTGCTGGGCACGGTGGTATTTTATATCCATTACCTCATTGTGATTCTTTTGAAAATCCTGCAAAGTCCACATTATTGTTCCTACTTGATAGAGGGGGAAATTGAGTCTCAGGTAGGTTAGGTGCCTTGTCTAAGATTGCCCAGTTACTGAGAAGCAGGACCAGGATTCAACGCCAGGTCTGCAGCCCCCTGGCTCCCCCAGCTCCCATGCCTCGCAGTGGGGCCAGGAGCTAGAGGAGGCATCGTGCCCTGAGCCCCTCTGCTCCCTACCCCACCCCAGGCTGCAGGAGTGTCGGCTAACCATCAGTGATGTGGAGAGGCTCATAGGCCAGCTCCGGGAAGGCCCCCACCTGGACGAAATAGAGTGAGTATCATGGGACACTCTGGGGCAGGAGACAGGAGGGCAGGGCAGGGCGGTGCAGGAAGGGCCTCACTTTTGGGTGGATGATAGTATGAGGAAGATGCCTCGTTGAGAATCTGGGGGAGTCAAGATTATCGGAATAGCTACCACAATTTAGCACTTGCCTTGTGCCAGGTACATTTATATACTTCCTCTCATTTACTCCTCACACCCCTATGGCGTAAGTACTGTTATGGTGCACATTTTACAGAGGAGGAAATGAAGTTGCAGGAAGTTCAGTGTGCTCAAGGTCTCACAGCAAAGAAGAGTCCAGGCCAGGGTTCAAGTTCAGACTGTCTTACTCCAGGCCTCGCCCTAGTAGCCACCGTCATTGAGATCTGCAAAGCAGAAACCTTGCCACACCTGTCTGTCTTTCAAACCATAGCCCTCAGGGTCCCCTCACCTTGTCTTCCTCCCAGACTAGAGTGAGATGACCTCTTTTCTTGTGGGAGAAATTCCCATGATGTTCAGCTCTTGGGTGGAGCCTTTGAGAGTAGGGCTTGGGGTTGGTGGAGGTCCTGTCATGGGACCATCCCAGGAAATCAACTGGGTGGGAAGGTAGAGTGATGGAATGCCAGAATGTCATTCCAAGGTGAGGTGGATGGGGTGAAGGCTGCTTTGGTGACTAAAACTTAATTAAGCCTTGACCTCTCCCTTTGGGAGAAACAAGACATGATTAGAAAAGGTGGGGTTTTCCAAACTGACATACTTCCACCAATCTTGCCAGCACCAGTCTGCCCATCCCCCTGTTCTGTCACCTATAGTAAGGGCCCCACCACCCACCTGGTTACACAGACCAGACACCTCTCAGCTCCTTGCCCTCCTCCCATAGCCAGGCCATCCGGAGTAAACCTACGCCCTACATAGCTCTCCAAACCATCTTTTCATCCACTCTCCCTAGCCCAGACCACTCTCATCTGTCATCTGGGTGGCTCCATCAGCCTCCTCACTGGGTTCCCTGCTTCCACCCTGGCCACCTCCACCTGGCACAGTGTGAACTGCATTTCATTTCACTCCTGCCTGTCCCTTTCACTCCTTCCCAACACTCAGGATAAAGCCCAAATCCTAAAGTCCCATGTGATCCAGAACCCTGCTCCCAACCCCAAACCCCCTCTGACCCTGCCCTCCCCTCAGTCTTCCACCCAGGGTACTGGCTCCCTTTCTGGTCCTCAAATGTGCCTTTGAATGTGCTGCTCCGACAGCCCTGTCTCTCTCCCACCCCTTACCTATTGAACTCCTAGTTTCACTAGCAAGCAGCTCAAACATCAGGGAAGCCTTCCCTGACCCCAGACTAGGTCATATACCCCTATCGTCATGGAGTTGATCACAAGAAACAGTGATGTCAGTTGCAGCATAAATAAATGGGGGACTTCACAGGGGGACTTGAAGTCAAATGACTGGGTTCAAATCCCAGGTTCACCTTTGAATAAGTGCCCCAACCAGTCTCTACCTCAGTTTACTCATCAGTAAGATGAGCATAATAATAGTGCCTAATTCATAGGGTTGTTTTGAGGAGTAAAATTCAATCATTGTAAAAGCACCTAGGACAGTTCCGGGCAAATAGTAGACAGCAAGTAGTAGGCAGCCTTTCAACATTCATTATTATGAAGGTTCACTTATTGGAATGATGCTTTGACTAAAGTCCATGAGGGTCAGCGTGTGTGTTGAGGGGGGACCCCACCCTAGCAGCCCAGGGCATCAGGCCCCTCTGTCTCAGCCTCTCAGGGAACCAGCTGGAGAACGAAGGCTGTCGACTGATGGCAGAGGCTGCCTCCCAGCTGCACATCACTGGGAAACTGGAGTGAGTTGTCCATCCTGCTGCTGGGTAACAGGGGGGGCCCTGGAGAGTCCCAGCTGGTCCCAACCACCCCTGACCCCCATGTCCATAGTCACTTAGGGAGCTGCTCCCCACCCCTTTCTCCCAACTCCAGTGAAGTCAAAGTGGCTCAACCATGCCTGCCTTGCTTTTGCCTCTGACATGAGCCACTTAATTCCAACTATTAAAACCCCTTGTAGAATGTGTCCCTTCTACCTCAGTGGCTTGTGTTCCAGTTTGTCCTTACAACAGCCCTGGGGTGGAGCAGGATGCGGTGGGGTGGAGTATTGCATGGAGCCAACCTGGCGTATTGGATGGGTGGGCACTGGGGTGTTGAGTTGGGTTTTGGGGTGGTATGTGGTGTGTTAAGGTGAGGGTAGAGCGTTGGGTGAAGGGGCAGGTTGCTGGGTGGTGGGACGGAAAGACGGGTATTGAGCTGTTGGGTTTGCTCAGTGTTGCATGGTGAGGTGGGGGTGCTGTTTGGGTGCGTGCACTGGGGTCTCAGCATCAAGTGTGGGCTGGGGTGGGAAGTGCTGAGGTTGGGGAACTGATCTGGAGCCTTGGTTTGTACTGAAATCCTGGCTCTGTCATTCAGTAGCTTTTAGAGCTTTGTGACCCTGGGAAAGTAATTCAACACCTCTGAGGCTGTTTCCCCATTTGTTAAGTGTGCTTAGAATGATGGTCATTTTACATGCCAGGAAACTGAGGCTCAGAGAGGTGAAAGCAGTGAGTTGGTTCTGATGGCTCCAGCTGGAGAACTTTATTCTCTGAGTGGGGCAGGGTCTTGTGTCTCTTGGCTCATCCACATGAGCAGGAGATGAGCAGGAATCCCTCTGGTTAAGGATCCAGGACATCCCAGGAGTGATAGCCAGCCAGCTGCTGAGCCAGGAGGAGGGGCCTGGAGCTGTCTGGAGCTGGGGAATCCAGCCCCTGCTGATGGCTGCCTTCCTCTTCCTCTCCATAGCCTCAGTGACAACAGGCTCTCGGTGGAAGGGGTGCACTGCATGCTGAGGGCAGTGAGCATGTGCCGCAACCTGGCAGACCTGCATATCAGGTGAGAGCTTACAGTGGACACCTGTCACCCACTCCCTCCTCCAGCTCAGAGCTCCCAGGTTCTCCCATCATTTCAGTCCTGGTTGCCTCCAGAGAGCAGAACTTAATAAAACCCTGATATGGCTGCAGCTTTCGTATGGAGTGGTATATAAAGTAAACATAAACATTTTAATTCATCATTTTTTTAATAAAGCTTTTCAAGCATACTCAAAGGTAGGGAGAATGGTACAACAAACACCCAGCTCCCACCAATAATTATCAACATTTTACTGCTCTTGCTGCACCTGTCCCTTGAAAACCTATTTTTTAGANAAAAGTCAGGGAGAATAGTAAAACAAACACCCAGCTCCCACCAATAATTATCAACATTTTACTGCTCTTGCTGTACCTGTCCCTTGAAAACCTATTTTTTAGAAGAGAATTTGTCATTTTAATCCCATTTCTAAAAAATCCTCAAGCAAGGATATTTTTTCCCCATTGCTTTTCAGAGAGTGGAAGGGGGAAGAGGGAGAGAGAAACATCAATGTGAGAGAGACACATTGATTGGTTGCCTCCCACACACGCCCTGAATGGGCCAGGGATCAAGCCTGCAACCGAGGTACTTCCCCTTGGCTGGAATCTAACCCAGGACCCTTTAGTTCCCAGGCCGAGGCTCTAACCACTAAGCCACACTGACTAGGGCTTAATCCCATTTTTAAGGGGGGAAAAAAAAAGAAAGAACATTCACTGCATTAAAAAACAAGACTCAAAAGATCCTCCACAAATGTTATCAGTGGTCATTGATATGTGGAAAAGATGCTGGGTGATTTTTTCTTCATTTTCTTTTTACTTTACTATATTTTCTAAGTTCCCCACAAGGGTGAAGTATGACTTTTGTAATGAGAGAAATATATGCATAACAATTGGTTTGCAAGGCGAGGTTAGGGATGCCAGGCTGTAAGTTTCAGCCTCTTGTGCATTCTCATTGTCTGCCCTGGATCTGGCAGTGACCTCACCCTGCAGGGTGAGCACCCTCAGCTAGCCAAGGTGCCACTGGTGGGCAGAGGGAGGATTTCAGCCTGAGCCCCAAACCAGAGAGACCACAGAACTGAAGTTTTCTTTCAAGGACTCGCCAGGAAACGAGGGAGGGCTGAAAAGTTTGTGAAATCTGTAGAGAAAGATTTCAGGCCTTGGAAGCTCAGAGGAAGTCAGGGGAAGGTAGAGGAAGTGGCTGCAGCTAGAGGCTGGGGGATGGCACCTTAGAGGTCCCTCGAGGTCAGGCTAAAAATGATCTGGAGCAGCAGGGACCCCATCAGCCTCTTGCCTCTACCTCTCTTCTGTCCGTAGCCTCATGCACAAAACTGTGGTCCTCACGTTTGCCCCGGAGCTGAAGGAGCAGGAGGGGACCCAGGAGAGGTAGGGTCCCAACACCATCCCAGCCCCACCCTGGGCCAGGGCCACCCGTTCCCTGACTCCCACAGCTGGTCAGTGCCACTCAACTGCCAGGGGAACTTGACAAATTCAGGAAGCCTCAGCAAGCCAGCTGGCTTAGAGGGAGGTGCAGACCTAAAAGGGAGGGTCAAAGGAGAGACTGCTATCCCATTTTCCTAGCAGTACCTAAAGAGAGCCCTGGGATTCAGGATGGAGATGGCACCATGCCGGGCAGGAGTGGGATAGCCAGCAAGACCGAGGCCCTTCAGCCTAAACCCAGAGGATTGCCTGGCCTATAGCCCTGATTTTGGTCAGAACTTTCTGGCTCCCTTTGGCACAATGACCTTTTAGAGAGTGTTTGCCCCCTCCAACATGCCTTCCTGGATTGCCCCAGCCCAGCACATGGGCAGAGACTCAGCTCTGTGCTCCTCAGTGTCCACCTACAATGTCTCCTGTGGGGTCTGAACTTTTGAAGCCTTGCTTGAAGCTGAGGCTGGCATCTCTGAAGTCACTGATGATGGTGATGATATTAATGATACTAACAGCCAAGGTTAATTGAGCACCAAGCACCAAACTAAGGCAGTTCACATACATTCTCCTAGTAAGAGGCTAAGTGAATTGTCCCAGGTTACACAGCCAGGACGCAGAGAAGCCCTATTGGAACCAAGGTCTGACTGTGTACAGGCCTGTATAGAGATTGGATGGTGGGAAGTGAGGCTGAAGATGGACTTTGGAGACAGTGGATGAGGCATTTGCTCAGCTTGGCTTTGGTATATGTCTCTCCAGGGCTGCATCTCTTGACAGCCTTATGTTCCAGATGTCCTCTGAGCCATCCTGGTGCTCCCTGAGGATCAGGTACAGTGATGACCTGCAGGTGCTGGGTATGGTTCCAGCCTCCACCCTTCCTCTGCGCAAAGCCTGTCCCCTGTCCCCCACCCCAGGTGCTCCCTGGATGACTAGACCTGCTCTGTCCAGGAGTTGAGGCCTGGCTTCCCTGCCTCCCACCTCTCCTGCCCAGTCCACTGCAGGTGGAGCTCACAAGGCAGCCCCTCAGTCACCTTCCCGCCCACAAGCCCCCTCCCCTTAGTGCCCCCAACTTCCATTGGCTGAGGGTTGTGGGAACTCTGGACAGAGAGGATGGGGAGCTTGCAGCCCCTTCTTTTCATATCCTGGGGCCTGGGCCTGGGGACTCAGCTCAGCCCCTCAGGGCGCCCATCCATACTCCTCCAGCCCTCTCTTCTTCTCTGTCCATCTGACTCTCCCTCCCTCTGTGTCTGCCTCTCAGTTCATGTCTGTATTATTTTCTGTGGCCCTTTTCTCATTGTCTGTTTGTCCCCCTCTGGAGCTGTCCATGCACGTGTGTGCAGTGGGTTCTCCACCTGGACAGCAGGTGTATGTGCATGTGTGTGCACACGAGTGTGCGTCTCTCCCCACCCTCTCTCCGCCTCCCACCCTGTGTCTGTCCATCTTGGTGCCCCTCTCTCTGTGTGGTTCTGATTCTCATCCTTCCCTGCCTGTGGGTGACCATCTGTGTGTTGTGTGCTGGTCCCCCTTTGTCTGTCTGTCTGAGTGCCAGTTGTGCCCCAGTCCCTCCCCTGCAAGCCCTGTTCTCTGCTTGTGTGGGGTGGCTGGCTGCTCTGGCCTCTGTTGGGCAGGGCGGGGCTGCAGGGCTGTGGTTTTACCTCCGCAGGCTGACACACTGTGGTTTGCGAGCTGAGCACCTAGAGCAGCTCTGCACAGCGCTGGGAGGAAGCTGCCGCCTGGGCTGCCTTGAGTGAGTGGCACTACTAGAAGGCGGATGGGTGGGGCTGATCAGTTAGTGAGTGTTGAGTTTTGTTTTGCTTTTTAGATCAGCAGTTCTTTTCCTGCTGAATCCAGAACCCCTTAGAGAATCTGGTGAAAGTTGTGCCTCTTCCCCCTAGAATACAGCGCCCCCCATCCCTGACCCCCTCAGGGTCACCAACCTCAGGATAAGAACCTGGGGGAGACCCCAGCTGACCCAGTGCCACCACTATGATCTGGCCTGACAGCCCAGGGCCCTGTTCAGGTTCAGGAGAAGCTGAATGATTGAGCCAGTGGGATGGAGAGACAAAGCTCCTGCCCATCCCCACCCCTTCCCTCCACTAACCTGTTTCCCCCGCCTGTGCCTCTCCCAGCTTATCAGGCAATGCTTTGGGGGACAAAGGTGTGGCCCAGCTGGCTCGGTGGCTCCCAGAGCTGGGCACTCTGCAGTCCTTGAAGTGAGTAGCTGGCTGGGGGAAGCCTCTGAGGCTTGTTCTCATCCGAATGAGGGGATGTGGGAGAGGGGAGGAGTGGGGGTGGAGGTTCTTCTTATGTCCCATCTCACTCCCTCCTGGGGTTATCAGAAAGATTAAATGGGAAAATGCACCTCAGTGGTCTGGCGCAGTCCCTGACATGTGGTAAGTGCTCAGTATAGGCTATGATTCTCATTAAAATAGAGTCTGGCCTCTGTGACTCAAGGTATCCAGTTTCTGATTTAAGGTTTCACTTCTCCAACCTGTCTCTGGGAGTCCAGGTCACCTGGGGCAAGGCAGGCATGGTGGGCAGTCGTACCTGATAATGAAATGACTGGCAGCCATTCTGGCCCTGGGGTGCAGAGAGGGGCTGTTTGATGGGGTGCAAGCTGGTAGGCAGGAAGGGTTTTTACCCCCACAGGACACCCAGCAGGGTGCTCAGGGCATCTGGAGGGCCCTGAGCACCTGGCAGAGAAGGGGGAGATTTTTCAGTGTGAGAGGGAGGCTCTGGTAGGAGGCTAGGAACCCCCAGACTTTGCCTGCAGCAGACCAAGCTTCCCAGGCCCTAAAAGGCTCCTGTGTTCTAGGTTCTGCCCCTCCCCCCCCCCAACTCTTCTGGGACAAAGTAAGAGGAGACCTGGAGAGAGGTCCCAGGTCCCAGGTAACCGGTGTGACTTTGAGCAAGTTACATCACCTCTCTGAGCCCCTGGTTCCCAGTTAGTTAACACATAAACTATAGAGGGATGAATTTTGCCTACAACCTTAGAATGAACGCTGTGGCTAGAGGGCCCTTCCTGCTCAGACAGTCTCACTGGCATACTGGGAGGGAGAGGAGGTCACCTCAGTTGCTGTTCGGGGCTGCACCTGGGTAGGAGGAAGGCCTCACCACTGCATGCAAATTATATGCTGATTGGAGCTTTCTGGGCAAAGCCCACGTGACCTTCTAGATACTGTGGGTGTCTGATTTGACCCAGGGCCTGCAAGAATTTGCAGTCACCTACCAGGATCCCGTCCCTAGGAGGGTGTCATTAAATGGCAAATAAAAACCACTATGACAGGTTAACAGACTACGAAGGAAAGGAGAACCTTTGTCCTGCTCTTTGAGCAAGAGGCCCTCCATTTTCATTTGTCACATTCATTTGTCACTCCCCACATTCATCACTGACAGAGGGAACCACGGGGTTCTAATCTTGGCCCTGTCACCAATATGTCTTATAACTTTGGGCAAGACCTTGCTGCTTTATGGGCCTCAGTTTCTCCATCTGTACAGTGGGGAGTTAAAGGAGGCGCTCTGACCATTCAGAGTTCAGTGAGTTTCATTGTCCAGACTTGGGGACAGCCCTCCCCTCCCCTGTGCTCTGACCACAAAGAGGGTGTTTTTAAGTCCTGTAACTTAAAACAAGACTTGAGACCCCTGTCAACACCACTCCTGTGATTCTCCAGCCTCAGTGAGAATGGCTTGTCCCTGGACGCTGTGTTTGGTTTGGCCCAGTATTTCTCTACTGTGCAGTGGATCCTCCACCTGGACATCAAGTGAGTGAGCCTCTGGCCCCCCGCCCTGCCCCCTCAATTGCCACATTCGTCACGTAGCATCCTCAGGGCCTTCAGGATACCGGGTCAGTGTGTGTGTGATGGGTGTCTGCTGAATGAATGAATGAACGAACGAACGAACGAGTGAATGAATGAATGAACGAACAAATGAATATAGCCCCAGGGACACTCAGATTTCTCTGTGGGGCACAATCCACGACTCTCTCCCTCACTCTCTGGATTGTTCTGGGAGACTTTTAAGAAAACTGGGAGCTTTCTTGTGACCAGTGAATGCTTAGGGACTCACTTTAATTGTGGGGTCCCGAGCTGATGAGACTGTAGAAGGGAAAGGGCACCCAGGCACGCAGCTCTGGCATGCAGTGTAGATCAGCCACACTTTCAGAAGAAGCCTGCCCGTTCCTCTTCTGCCCCTCCCAAGAGTGGGTGGTGTGAGAGCAGACAGACCAAGTTCAGATCCAGGCTCACCACTTACCTGCTGTGCAGCTTTGAGCAGGTCACTGAGCCTCTCCAACCTGTTTCCTCACCTGTAAAGCAGGGTAAGAACACTTCTTTCCCACACAGTTGTAGCGTGAGAATCAAAGGAGATCATGTTGCTGGTGTGCCTTGTATGTGCCTTAATACATCCAGTGGTTGTCGGTATAGTTATTGCAGTATTTGCTGAGAACACGGGCTGCCTCCAGGCCCCGCATGACCTGGTCAGTCCGCTCTCTTGCCCCTGCCTGGGCTGTAGGCCCTTCACCTGTTCTCTGATTTCTGCCTCCTGTCTACCTGCAGCTTCAAGAGCCAGCATATCATCCTGAGAGGTGACAGGAGAGCCAGGTGAGGACAGAGAGCTCCGAGAGTGAGGTGGGCTCCCCTCTCCCGCTGGTCCCCATTTCCTGGAGGAACCCCCACCCCAGACCCATGCTGACCACTGTCAGCTCTAGAGTAAACCCCCCTCCATATACATGTGCCATAATCAGCTGCCTTAAATCTCTCTTGGAAGAAGCTGGTGCAGAAGGAGGGCGGGAAGGAAGGGTGATACCACAGCGGAGCAGGTGCTAGCACGTTGCTGCTGTGGGGGAAGAGAGAGGGAAACTGTATCTCTGTCTTGGGGACTTTTTCAGACCTTTGCACACTCAGAATCATATGAGTCACTGCTCTTTCACACTCTGAGGGTCACATTTGAGAAGCCAAGAACCGTTGGTGCTCTGAAAAAGTTTCCATATCTTTGCTAGTTCTCCGCGGGTATTTCCTGCTGCCCCCTGGTGGGGCACCTCGGCCTCACCGGGGAGGTTGGCAAGCACAAGAGCCATCTAATGTGGGGCATCCGGGCTGACGTGGCAGGCAACAGCGTCACCATGCCAGGTGGCTGTCTGAACCAGGGCTGGCTCAAGGCTGGGGTGATCTTGCTTCCTGGTCTAGGGTCTCTATTTCTGTGGACCCTCTGGGGTTTTGAGGCCAAAAGAATGGAGGCACAGGGAGACAGAAGTCATGTGAGGGCCACATCAGTGATCAGAGCGAGGAGGGGCTCTGTCCTGCCCCCCTAACCTGGTCAGGTGCCGCCCCCCCGGACAGGCGTAAGCTGCTGTCTTTCTCACTGTGGCTTCCCTTCCCTGCCTCAGTTTCCCCGTCTGTACAGTGAGGGGTTTTGATTGTCCTGAGGGCCCCTCCCAGCCCTGACTGATGAATCTCGTCTTCCAATGTGGATGATTTAAACTTTCCTCGCAAAATGTTTCCCCACCCCAAGGCATCTGTCAGCAGGTGGCTCTCTGCCAGGGGTCCCCGCTGGAGCCCAGTTCTCGGGGTTCGGTCAGCGCTGCGTCCCCAGGAGCTTCTGGTACCATTTTACCCACTTCTTATTTGGGGGTAACCACAATGGGGTAAGGGCTCAGGGAGTGAGGAGCACCTGGGGGGGCTGGGGACTGGAGAGAGGAGAAAGAGCATTTGAGAGAAGGGGAAAGAGAGAGAGTGAGTATGGGGACTGGTGACAGGGCTGTGGGCCCCTCATTCCAACTCCACATTGATTTCTCTGAAGGCTTCCAGCTCCACGGG